TCTGCCCCCAGACTTCATCACGCACTTATTATATAAAATAGTATACGCAACACGTGTGGACAGCAGGCGGTATCACTCGGGCGCAGCCGCCCGAGTGAGTAACCGCCTGCTTTCCGCACTAGTTGCGTAATGTACTATTTCCGGCCTGTTGCAATGGGGTTTTTTACTCGTGTGGCGTTGGCCTCCGAGCCGTAGGTGAGGACTGGCCAACCACACGAGTCAATAAACCCCATCGCAACAGCCCAGGAACAATATTTTTCTGTAGTGATTTTCAAGTTTTCGAGTTTGGGAAGTATGTAATACCAATTCCCAGACGAGAAATCGTGAGAAGCAGTACAGAAAAAGACTTTCTTTTGCAGAAAAAGTCGTCTACTGCTACTTCGGTAGTTGGGCAGTATATCGTCCAGGAAAAGGACAATTCCAAATCTCGAACATAGACACATCCCTCTGCACCCACTTGGTCTACACTTTTGTGGGCCTCGAAGGTGAAAACGTGAAGGTTCTCGATCCTTGGCAGGACCTCCCTAATGACTGGGGCAAGGATGGCTTCAAGCGTTTCAACGACCTGCGCCTGAAAAGCCCTGGACTCAAGACGCTGATAGCCATGGGGGGATGGAACGAGGGATCAATCCAATANCCTCAGACGAGAAATTGTGAGAAGCAGTACAGAAAAATACTGTTCGTCATACGGCCAAAATAGTATATTTCGTCACTAGGCCGAAAAAAAATTTTCTGGCGAATATGAGTTTGCAGCCCGAGCCTTCGGCTCGGGCTGCAAACTCATATGAGCTAGAAAAGTTTTTTTTGGCCGTTTGACGAACAATATTTTTTGTCATGACGGCCGTAGTCAGAGATTCACGGACGCTCCGCTCCGTTCCGCGTCCGTGGAACGCTGCCTTACGCCCGCAATGATAAAAAATGGTCTACATTACGCGTGCATCTAGAAAAATACTCCTTTACGTATTTGTAACACAATACAATGTTTTTCATCGATTAGTGATCACCTTATATCCAATTGATTTTATAAAATAATGTTAAAAAACGTTTTCATGTATTATCTAAGAAAAATTTCAACGAAAATTGTCGTTTCATATTTCCTCACAGAATTTCGCATTATCAAGGTTATTCGGCGATAAATGAAACGGTTGACAATTTCTCAACTAAATTCTTTTTTCTTATTCAAATTTTGTCCTCACACATTTATGAATCTTTATTCAGATGCAAAATATCAACAACATCGTTATGTTTCCCCTCGATTCGGTGTTGAAAGGAGACCTGAGAGGGGTTAAAGGGGACTTGAAGAGGCCATTCGAAAAAGCGTGGAAGGATTACGAAGCTAAGTACGCGAAAATAGAGAAGGAGAAGAAGCAGCATGCAAAAGAAGCTGGTCTTATACGAACGGAAGTCACACCTGCTGAGATTGCAGACGAAATGGAAAAAGAGAGACGACTGTTTCAATTACAAATGTGTGAGGTATATCACCCTTTCAATTTACGTGATGATAGGAATCAGTACAAGGGACACTGATTTATGAACTGCATCAATTTACATTCTTCATATTGTTTAATACTTGTTTTCACTTGCAGTACCTCATAAAAGTTAATGAAATCAAAACGAAAAAGGGGATTGAGCTGCTCCAACATCTTGTCGAGTATTACCACGCACAAACCAAGTAAATATCATTCGATTTGCTTCAATATCCTTTATTTGAATGAGAAATTCTTTTACTGATAATTCAATAATTCAAATCCATTTTTATTTTTGAAATTGTAAATCTTCAGATCGATTGAATACAATTTAAAAACGAACTTAGTTCTGAATTGAATTAAGGATTCTGTTGTACTATAATCAGACACTTCCTTGAGTTTTTATATATGTGCAATGCGAACCATCCTTTAATATAAAATTTATATTTTTGGGATCCTATGCTAGTCACGTCCCCGTCGTAGATCCTGGGTAATGCCAAGAATTGGTGCACGGAGAAAATTATTTGGTGAATTTCAACAATTAGTTGTAAAATTTCACCAGCTAGTTTGTTGAAATTCACCAAATAATTTTCTCCATGTAAGGCTCAAATGTTAATGCTTCTTTGTGAATTCATAGAGTAACTACATTTAATTTGATTAAAAAATGAAGCGCTCGTGGAAGGAAGATGGTGAAATGATATCATTATGAAATGTATCAAAGAGTATAAATTCATGACTGGTAACCCGATCTCGTTATTATATGAGAACTTGAAAATTTTCTGAAAGGATACCGTTTGTATACAAAACCGCTTCTTTGCACTCATCGGCTCATGAATTCAGCAAAAAAGAGTGACAAATTGATTTTTCACATCTTCCTAATAATTTTTGAACATGAACTTAGTTCAGTAATTAGTAATTTACCGTCAAATTCGAAGTGTATCTCCATCGAAAAACACTTCCGGTGGAGATACCACCGGCTGAAAATGAATCTTTTTTTCGTGAAATTACTGATTCTAGCCATGAATGCACAGTCAGCAAAAAGGTCGAATGTCTCTGCTTAACTTCCACCTCTTCCCTGCAGAATGCTCACACTTCTACTTAACAATGTTCTCCTTTTCTTTTTGCTCAGCTACTTTCAAGACGGCTTAAAAACTATCGAGCACTTCGGCTCCTACATAGCAGACCTCAGCATTAAGCTCCAAAAGATCCGTCAGACTCAGGATGAAGAACGTCGGCGACTCACAGAGCTTCGCAGTCTCCTCAGGAGTTCAGGCTGCGATAAAGAACTCACCACAAATGCTTCTGCCGGCTATTCCCTCCACCAACTTCAAGGGGACAAACAGCACGGCGTAACCCGTTCGGGACATCTATTCAAGAAAAGCGAGGGAAAGATGCGTCGAGTGTGGCAGAAGCGTCGTTGCGCAGTGCAAGCAGAGGGGTACCTGGACATCTGTCACGCAGATGAGAACAAGCCCCCCACCCGAGTCAACCTCCTCACCTGCCAAATAAAACTAGTCCCCGATGACAAGCGAGGCTTCGACCTCATCAGCTACAATCGAACTTACCATTTCCAAGCGGAGGACGAGACAGACCAGCGAGCTTGGATGTCAGTCTTGGTGAACTGCAAAGAGAGAGCTCTCCTGAGAGCTTTTGACGCCAGTGGCAAAGCCGACGCAGGCCAGGGAAATCCCACTCTCGTTGAGCTTCAACAGGCGGTCATCAGATGCGTCATGAGACTCCCTGGAAACGACCAGTGCTGCGACTGCTCGTCACAAAACGACGCCACATGGCTCTCAACAAACTTTGGGATAATCGTCTGCATCGAGTGCAGCGGGATCCACAGAGATCTTGGGGTTCACATTTCCAGGATACAGTCATTAACCCTTGACAATGTTGGAACTGCACAATTATTATTAGCGAGATACATGACTAATCAATCTTTTAATGAAGTTATGGAGGCGACTCTTCATCATAATTTGAAACCATCACCGTCCTCCTCGATGGAGGAGAGATACGAATTCATCAGAGCTAAATATGTTGATAAACGATACGTCATGAATACTTGTGCAGATGAACGGGATCTGTTATCTGATCTCGAGCATGCGGTCAATAATAGAGACCTTCAACAATTGCTGCAGGTATTCGCCGAGAATGTGGACCTCGCGGCGCCCCTACCGACTTCGGAGGTTGGAGAAACAGCGCTGCATTTGGCCATTCTGAGGGAGATGGGGGGGAGTCTGCATCTAGTCGATTTTCTGGTACAAAATATGCAGAGTGGAGGGGTTGATAGAGCAACTGTCGATGGGGAGACTGCTCTGCATTTCGCCGCGAGGCATGACAGGGCTGAAGCGATGAAGCTACTATTGAGGGCTGGGGCTGACCCTACGCTGAGGAATAAGCAGGACAAGACGCCGTCAGATATTGCGCAAGAGATGGGACACCTTGCGTGTAAGGATTTGGTGAGTTATCGGGGGTTATTTTATTCTAAAAGTGGGACAATATGACAGGTGTTGCATCTGGCATTATTCTGATACGAAGCGTTTTACATTTAAGGCCCAGGTGGATTATCTTTCAAACTTGGTCTTGGCTATTTTTTTTATTTTGATAATCTGAAATTATCTCCATTTGCTATTCAGTTTCACATAGCCCTGGAGTCTCCAAAAATTATGATTATGATTGTACAATCAAAAAAACATTTTAAAAAGCTGAACATTTTCAGAGAGCGTTTTTTAATAATATTGGGAAACAAACCCAATAGGGAGGAAATTGCAAATTAATAATTTGATGTATCTAATGGCCGTTAGGTAGGCATTTGTCACAGTAGTCAATGGCTGTCAGGTCATTAGTTACCATGATAAATTATCCATTCACTATTTTCTCTTTATCGGATTTGGGCCCGGTTGCACCAGCTCCGGGTAAGGAAAACGTCTGATAAGCAAAAAAAGTACATTTTGATGTTTGATGGATTATTTTACCCGGGAGAGTATCTCAAATTTATCCCAGGAACAAAAAATAAAATTTAATCCCAAGGTTAAATCAGTGTTAATTCAAATGGGGCTACAGGATAAATAAAAAATTATTCTTCGGGTCAAATATTGAAAAATTATAACCCCTACGATATAATTGACCCCAAGCATCAATTTTACCCTGGGGTTTATTTGGATAACAGGCTTGGTGCAACCGGGCCATATTTCTTAATTTATATGACAAACGCCCTTTGAAAATGTTCAGTTTTTTTTCTACTTTTTTTGATTGTACAATCGTAATTTTTAGGGACTCTTGCGTGACTTAAAATCCAATGGAAATTGTGGTACATTTTACATTATAAATTTTGAAGAATCTCAATTGACAGATACGAAAAAACTCGTGAAATCTAAAGGTCACGAAGTTCGTCTTCACGTGCCTTAATTTCGATTGCCCTACGAAAAAAATTGCACTGTTTTTTTCTTCTAAGGTAATTTCAGGATGTGTAGAATTAGAAAGTAGAATATGCTACTATATTCAAATTATGATCTTCGACCATTTTGATTAAAATCTATAACGATACTTTTATAACTTATAAGCTCATCGGTAAAGGGAATGCTTACCACTTACAATTATCTGTTATTAAGATGTTGATAGGGATTTTGCGGCTGTTTATTTTCAATCCATGCCGCAAAACTTTATTCTACTGCCTTCTCAAAAGGAGATAATGTTTAGTACTTCAATATAAAGGAGGTTTCTCAATTAAGTCCAATGGTTTATTTTAATAATAAGTCATACTCTTTTAGCTGAGCATTTCAATATTGATTCGTTAGCCTTTGGGATTCGTTAATAATCATAAGATTTTTTTTAGTTGAATCACGCGCTGCAGAAGCAAAAGACCCAGTTCGATAATGTGAATATCGACTGGAATTTGTCCCATGATGAAGGATCTACCGATTTCTCGGATGATGAGACAATTATTGAGGATCGAGTATGTCATAATACTTATTAATCATTAATTGTTCATTTATTTAGTGTTTTGAAAACTAACTCGAATAACTTATTTTTTGAGATCCTTTCATTTTACACTACATCTTCAGATTTCTTCCTTTCCAGTTCCGAAATAAAAATGTTCTTACCTGTGTAGGTGTACACATCTAAGACATCTTCGAAGTTTTTTTAAATTATCAGTTTTAGAGAGATTTTTTTTAATATTAAAAAAAAATGTCAAAATTTTAAGACACCTTTAATTTTTCTTCTCTTTTTGCTTTTTATCCAACGATTCAAAGATGGAATTCTTCTCCCTCAGTCAACAAAAAAAAATGAAACCCACTTACAATTTCTTCGTCTTAATCAGAATGGATGCTTAACACCAGAGAAAAAATCTCGTAGCAGACCGCCCTCCTACGCAGGAGGAGGTGGTTCAGGTCCAGGAGACTCGCCAATAACTCTCAGAAGTCGAAGTAGTACCTGTGATAGTCTGCAGAGTGGTTCCTCACCAAATTCAGTGACAAGTAGACAGCAAATGCCACCGCCGCCGCCCCCTCAGGCGAGAAAACCCATGATAGTGTCGAGTCCAATGGGACCACCAGACATGGCGTTAAATATTCACGGATCACTCAAAAAGAGGGTAGCACCACCTCCTCCGCCTGGGACCGGCGGGGGAGGAATACTGACCGCTCACTATGGAACTTTACCGACTTCTGTCAGCCTGGCCACCTCTTCACACAGTAGAACTACTAGTGAACCTATCCTGGCTGGTCATTCTTTGCACAGTTTGCCACATTCTTTGAATACCTTGAATAGTTTGCATCATAAGAGGTCACCTAGCAGTGATTCATCAACTGGACATGGTAAGATTTTGAGTAATTGAAATGCTCAAAGACATCTTCAAACTTTTTTTAAATTATCAGTTTTAGAGAGATTTTTTTAAATATTCCGGATGAACTCTTCCAGTTAAACTCATTCCGGTAATTTGGTACATGATGGATCGGAAGAGATTGTTATTAAGTTTAAAGGGAGACTACTATGAGTTTTAAAAGTCACGGGCGATTGGAGTGAGATTTCTCATACATTGAAGATCGATTATATATAACTTAAAATGAATAATTAGTACGAAAATTAATTAATTGTTTATTGTTCGTCTGCCCCGCACACGCTTAAAATGTTAAAAATAGTCCGGGGCCGTCAAGTTTTGAGCTGCAGAGGTTTCTTTTTTTTCAAAATTTCTGAAAAAATGTCTGCAATAATAATTACGAATTAGTTTTTTGAAATTTGACTACTGCGGAGGTAATTTCATTTTGTTTAAAATAAAAATTTACGCCATTCATGTAAAATGGGCAGAAAAGTGTTTCTGAAAGAATTGAGAATATATTGTTAATATTTTAAGAATAATTTACAAATATACAAAACTCATCTAGTCTCCCCTTAAACGAACGTTCCTCTTCTTTAAGTACTATGAACATACTCCAGTTGATTCATTGAGTAGAAAGAGGCAAAATAGATTTAAATTTCCCAAAAACATAACTATTTGTTATTGGTCATTTTTATAGGAAGTCTAACGTTGATGAGTATGACAAATTTTGTAGTAAAGGGGTAAACTAGCATAAGTGCAATTTTTTCGAAATTTTCTATTGCTTGAATCGAAAGTTCTCTCAAACGTGGTCGAATCTTTTAACTCTCCTGAAAAAGTTTCATTTTTGTACTTATTCTAGTTTATCACTTCGCTACAGAATTACTCCAACAAATTTGTTTTTGCAATTAGTTTTTTTAAAGAAGAGTTTTTATCAGCGGCCACGCTGTATATTGGACGCTGTATATTTACATGATACGTCAATATTTATAACAAATGTCTGAGACAGTAATATTCATATTGCATATAGAATTTTTTATTAATTTATTCCATGATTTTTTGTAGTTACCCTTGAAACGGATACTCTCCTATAAAACTATGTATTATTTGACACTTCTGAATCAATTATAATCAACAATACCATACTGTCGGTTGAGAATTTCACCTGAATCTTTCTTTTCATATTCACTTCCATTTAACATTTTATTCATATTTTAATCTTTGAAAATGGAGCAAAAATAACTTTTAGCCTGTTGAAATAGTGTGGAATGCCTCATCGTTCCTTAAGGTATATCCCTAGAAAATACATTTTTCTTAAGATTGTCTCCATTTTTTTCATAATGTTTATAATAGTCCCGAGGCTATTCAAAAAAATGCTAACTTGCTGTACTTCTCAGTTTAGGAGATAATAAATAATGAAATGCAAGCTTCCAACACGAAAGCCATAGGCCAAACGGGGGTTATGGCTCCCTCCGAACTTAATTTTTCCACTTTATGAGAAAACGGTTCTTTCGATGTTCTCAAAAAACCAATCCGTGATAGATTCATAAATTCCGAATACGGTGATTTTATTGTAAAATTTTGTACTACATAGTTTCTGCGATATTCAACTCTAGAAAATGCCAATTTTGTGAAAAAGATTAATTAACTAATAATTTCTTATTCGATTCAAGCAGTTATTGTTGCCTCTGTCAACAACACATGAGAATAGAAAAAACAATAACTTATGAAAATGCAGTAAATTTAGTTATTTAGAATTCTTTCCGGAAATCCATAGGGACTAACTTTTGGAATACACCTTAATTAACCTTTTTACAACTCTAAGCTTCTCCCCACTACGCCACCCTTTCAGTAGTCCATGGGGCTCCTTGTCCCGTGCCTCTCGTGGAGGTTCATGGCTTATTATCTTAATAGAGTTAAAATGACACTACATTTATTTTGTTCCTTCATAATAAAAGCCAAAATTCAGGAATGGATAAGTGAAAAATTTTCTAATTTCCATTCGCTTTTTCAGGAACTTTGGATAAATCAAATACATCAACTCTTCAAAGGCCAAGAAATCCTCCCCCTCCGGCTCCCTCAATCGCCTCATCCTCGAGAATGAGTAATGGCCGCAGCAGTGAATCCTTGAGTTCAATGTGTTCAGAACATGGAATTGGTAATCCCGTACCTCCCCCCAGGAAGGTAAGCTATTTTCAAGCCATAACAGGGAAAATTAATGACGAAAAATTAGTAACGAAGTGTTAAAATGTAACTGAAAAGTAAATTTTACGTCTTGGTAATGGTTTCATAATTCCGACAATGAGTAGTTTTAGGACGCAATTTCTGGCAATTTTCTTCTTTACATTTCCTTAGCTGCGCAAAACGTTTATTGACGTTTTGCACTGCAATTACTGTTGGAATAATTTCGGAATTAATAAACATGTAATCTTGAATATGTTACATTTTAGCGCCTCAGTACATAATACTCATCCGTGGTGGAGGGCTCGGTTTGGATATGAATTTGGGTGAAACTTGGGAGACACCACAGGGAATTTTAACTTTTCATTTGTCTCTGAACTAACATCCAGTAGTATTTGATTATAATTTCTTTAGTGATCCACGTTTGATATGCTCGTATATATTTCACCTCATACTAACGACTAACATCTTCATTACCAATCATCATCAAAATTTCAGTCATTGAAATGAACACCAATGAATCATAATAAAAACTCGGAAATAAATTAATGAATTAATAAATTTACAAATTTCTTATTTAGGATTCCCATCATTAATTTCAACGGGGAAATTATATCTTTCTCGATTAAACATAATTTTTAGCGACAAATAAAAGACCACTATTTGGAAGAAATGTTATCATTCATCGTAAACATGAATTTAGTAGTGAAGTGGTAGAGGAAAACAATTCCAGTGAGCCTCTAGTTCAGTTTTTGAAAAATATTTCAGAATTTAAGAAGGACAGTTCATTTTTTCAAGAATCTTTTTTGTCGTAAATAATGAAGGTACAATAAAATTATTCAATGAAAATGTACCGCATTTCTCTTCGATTCATAAATATCTCTCTGAAATTTAGCTAGAAGCAGAATTAATTTGTCATCAATTGTCACTGTACTACTGAATTGCAAAATGAAAAAGATAAATAAGTCAGTAGTAAAATACTAAAATTCAATATACCACATTGATATAATTATGGAGCCATCTAGCTGTTACACGATTTTGGGAAGAATACACAAAAGACCGTATTCATCGTAAAGTTCCTGAGCAACAAATCAAGTCTCTCGACATTGTTCCTGAAGTCGTTCATTTTTTTCGATATTCTCATAATAAGTAATTTGTCACATTTGATATCTCCCCTCGTTGATTATTATGAATTTATCTCGAAGCCGAATAATTTTAGAATGATATATCGATAGGCCACTCTTGTAGCTGGAAAAATTTGCAATAGAAAAGGTCTTTTTTTAAGATTCCGTCCTACAATCACTCGTTCTCCAGATGAATCCGTAATTAACGGTTAAGAATTTTCCTGTTGGGTTGAACCACTTTGCTACTGAAATTAAAGCATGTTTTTTTCTGTCAATTCTCTCTGTGAAAAATGTAATGTCCGGTTGATGGTTTTTGTCATTAACAACTGTTGGTACAGCGAAGGGAACGATCCAGATTAGAAAGCTACGCCGAGGAGCCCTCATCTTTGCTCCCCAATCTGAATCCGGTAAACATTTGGCACGCACAGTAGCATGCGACATTTGAAAATTAATACCAAAAATTAATAAACTGTGTTGTCAATCGCTATGGACGTCATTCGCACATTTTCAAGTGTCGTAAAGCTTCGCATGATCATTTAGATCTTCAAACGAACGCATCTCATCTGCATTGATAATTTACATTTCCTTGCTTTGAGTCATTCAAGTCCTGTGTTCTGTCTCATTGTTCACTTTCTGTTTTTCACTAATCAACATGTATATTTTCGTCTGGAGGGAATGCTTGTGAATTATCTCCAAAATTTTGGAGGCTTCGAAGAAGAATGTGATTGAATCAAGAGTATTATCCATGGCGACACATATGAAAAAATTCAATTCAAATTCAAGAGAACTATCGTTAAAATTCCATTTATTTTTTGCGCAGATTCTATTAGATGTTTGATAGGAAAATAGATTTCAATTTTTCTGTTTGAATTTTTCTCTTGCGATTTTTTCTATTAAAATTATTGGCCACGGATTTTCTAAGTTTTTTCCGCTATATTTTGATTTGTTTTGCATACAGGACCCGAGTGAAAAAATTTGGACAATTCATGCCCAAGTATTCCTATAGAAAAAATTCCAAGAGAATATATAGAAACATCGAAATTTTTTGACTTTTTCCTATTAAAAAAAATCTCATCGAATCAGCGCAAAAGCAAACAGAATTTTAACGAGAATTCCCTAGAATTTTAATAGAATGCCAATAGAATTTTCTAGCGAATTCACTAAGTTTTTCTATTGATTTTTTTCATATGTGGACATTAAGGCTTCTTGATTTCTTCGTTCGCGATTATAGCAAATAACTTGACGAATGTGTAAATCATGTTTTTTTTCGGCGGGTATGAGGTTTAATCACACTCGTTATATCACAAGGTAATCACCATAATTAAAAATGTCATTTCGACACGAGCGGTGTGGTTTATTATACCCACTCGGCATGTATAAATCACACGGCGTGTGATAAATCTGATTAACTAATGGTTTTGAAAGAACTCTTGATTTACAAAAAAAAAATCGACTTGAGATGGAGAATTAAAAGGAGAATCCTCGTGTGTAATGTTTATCCACTTCTCATAAATCAAATTCTTTCATGTTTGAGGAAGCTTTTGTAAATTTTTTGGGCTGATGAGAAATCATGTGAAACAAACTTTTTTGATTATTATAAACGATTGATTATAACCGTTTTGATAGAATAAAATGAACCAAAAAAATTCCTACATGAGGTTCATTTTCGAATTAATAGTCTTCCTACTAGAAGACTCTAAATATAAAAATCTGGGGTACTCAGGCAAATGTTGGAGATATTTAGAACATTGAACTCCATGTAACTTCGTGTTAACACCTACATTTGGTGCATATTACCTATTTCCGAATAATGAACATAGGTCTGTGGATTAAAATTTTATCAACATGCAGAAGATAACTCTATCAGTTTAAAAAAAAATGCAAATTGCATTCTCATTAATGTACATGTTTTCGAATGAAGCCTCCCCTAATATGATAAAAGAAGAATAAGATCTTTTCAAAACGAACCGTCTATTGTGTGTAACTGAAACCATAAAAATTATCAGCATGCGTCTGACATTCAATAGTTCCAACCAAGGAAATATCCATCGTCGTAGACCTACACTTGTCCTCAAACTAATCTCTTTCATTTTTGCTTTCAATGAAGCCCACGTCCTCGAGTTTGAATGGATTGCGTCGTTGTCGTGCACTTTACGACTGTGAGGCTGACAACGAGGACGAGCTTTCGTTCCGCGAGGGTGAAATTATAATCGTAACAAACGAACAAACCGACGATGATAATTGGATGGAAGGAGCCCTGGAACGTGCACCAGAAAGACGAGGAATGTTTCCGATAAGTTTTGTACATATGCTACAGGATTAACACGCGGGTAGCCTCAACTCGTTAGCAACAATTTCTAATTCACCTAGCACTTTGAGTATGACCAGTCTCAACAAGAGTAATGAAAATTAATCAACAAATGTACACTTCATTAATCAGACGCATTCATAAGTCAAGTGAAAGGGCAAAACGAGACCAGTAGAATATGTTTATTAATGGGAATTCTTTCACTTTATTCGACATAAGAAGAAAATATCTACTAATTCTCCTTATTGCCAAATCAATTTTCTTAAAAAAAAAGTCTGGCATTTTCTCTCACGCTCACTCATTCTGAATGTATTTGCCAATTAAGGCCCCGGTGGATTATCTTTCAAACGTGATCTTGGTTGTTTTTTTTTTATTTTGATAATCTGAAATAATCTCCAATTGCTATTCAGTTTTACATAGCCCTGGAGTCTCCAAAAATTATGATTGTACAATTAAAAAACGCTGAAAAAAGCTGAACATTTTCAAAGAGCGTGTTTGAATAATATTGAGAAATAAATCCAACGGGCAGGAAATTCCAAATTAATAATTTGGTGTATCTAGTGGCTTTTAGGTCGTCATTTGGCTGTCAGATCATTAGTTACCATGATAAATTATTCATTCACTATTTCCCCTCTATCGGACTTATTTTTTAAGGGGAAACGGAACCCCTGCGTTTATATGAATCTTTAGAATTGTGTTTTCTCCTGCAATTATTATTTTTTATTCATTAAACTCCTTCATTGACTCAACAATGCTATAATCGAGTCGATAAAGTAATTTCATAGATAGAAATTAATAATTGTAGGAGAAAACACAATTCTAAAATTTGATGTAGACAAAGGGGTTCCGTCTCCCCTTAATCTTTATTAAAAACGCTCTTTGAAAATGTTCAGTTTTTTTTTCTACTTTTTTTGATTGTACAATCATAATTTTTAGGGACTCCTGCGTGATGTAAAATCCAATGGAAATTGTGATATATTTTACATTATGACAATGGAAAAACAATCAAAATAACGGTCGAAAGATAATTCACCCGGGCCTTAAAAAAGAATTTGAAATAGTTGATTTCCAAGTATTCCATTACGTATCGACGTACTCCTGTACTTATCGGTTTCAATCGCATAGTTCAAGATTCTTTTTGGAGGAGATAAATTTCTGGATAAAAAAGGTCCTGACGTAAATCACGTACACCCAATTAACAAATATTCAATACTCAACTTGTCTCGTTTATTCTCTCTTCACTCACGTTGGCAATTTTTTTTCTCCCCAAATATTAAATTCTAATTATTCGCCTCACTCCTTTACTCATTTGGCCCCAGTACTTTTCGATAATTGACCACATAAATGTGATATTTCCGATTCTATTTATTCTTAAACAAAAAAAGTACCTCTAAACAGTACTGATCCTAGAATAGCTCAAAGCCATGTTGAACCTAGTGCGATTAAGACTTTCATCTTCAATTAAAATGCATGCAAATGTGACGATAGAAATGTTCGAAGATGCTTAGCAAGTAAAATATCATTCAATGTCTCTTATCCTAGAGTATTTTTCGAGTAAACATCAAAATCATTGATGAAGAACAAAGTTATGAAATTAGATAGATCTATATTTCCTCGATCGTTGAGCGTGAAAAAAATCTATTATGTATTAATGCATGACACGATAAGTATTACTAGAATATCCATCACAAAAAATATCAAAAACTGCGGGAAAATTAATCAACTTAAGTGATGAACAGGCATGAGTCCACATTGATTTGCAGATCATTCTCTAAATATGTTCAATGAAAAGAAATTTATCCAAGTTCGTCGAACAAATTTTTTTTAAACTCCGAAAAATCCATTTTTGGACTGTTCCATCCCTTGTCGTTCATCACTTCAATATAGAAACTGAAGAATAAAGCGAAAAAGTCGATTTATTCAAGAAATTGATTTTTTAATGTAACGCCATAATGTCTAGTTCTCAAACCCATAAAATATATCGAAAAAAAAAATAGTGGAATTAAAGTATACTTAAATATTTATTAGTAATTAGAAACTCGAATGAATGTAATATGTCGCAGCGTACAATTATTAAATTCAATCAATGATTATACTGACTATAAATTTGACTAGTTTACGTGACACCAAAGAAAGGAAAAAAATTTTTTATTATCAAAGATGAAAGATGAATAATGAGAAGCAATGATGAGGTGAAGTCCTCGTCTTCAGCATGTAAATATATCTTTATACATGTATATATACAAAATGTATATATTTTGAAAGTGAAACATAAAGGAATTAAAAATTGCATTAAAATGCAGTGTAACCCAAATTAATCCATGAAAAATGATTGAAATTGGAAAGATGATTCAACTTTAATGATAAATGATGGAGAGTAATTTTTAATGAAATTCGGTCTCTGTATATCGAATCTTGAAGCTAATTAATTGTGGTTAGGCTATTATTTATTGATTCAACTCTATAAGCATGAAAAACATTGACGAACTGCATCACAAATCGTGAATTAGTACTTTTCTTACTCATCACAGAATTATTATTGATTCACAGATTCGAAGCGAACGTTTGGTCTTTTTATTATTCTTAATAAATTAATATAAATTAATATATTCGATATTTGTATGTATCTCAGTGTACCTAGGACTCGGAGAAAATGATTAATGAATTTCGTTAAGCGATAAACAAGTCATTATGATGGATATTTGGTATAAATGACGACTGGTATAATTATTCAAGTATTTGTATAACATGCATAATAACGGTTTCTGTATGTAATATGGATGAAACATGATGTATCAAATGAGATGAACATTCTAAAAAAACTCACAGGTAAAAGAACAGAAATAAACGTTGTTTAGGGAATACTTGCCTCGATTATTTTAATACGATAAACCAATGCAAAGTCCTATCCTATTCTAAATCTTTCTTTGTCGGCCAAGGGATCTTATAGAGAATGGGTGACTTTAGCAGAGAATATCAGCAAACTTTTTTCGCGTGCTAGAAAACTTTTTGCCGAAAAAGTTTGATAAATTTCGTTAAAATCGTATATTGTCAGACTACCCGACTGATTATATTTTTGCATTGATTTCTCCACTACTCTATTCGCCGGCTTTTCTTCATTTCCAAACATAAAGCTTGACTTAATAAGTCTCTCTCGAAATGAATTAAAATGGAAAAATCATCGTTGTTGGAAGAAGGCATCTAATCTTCACTATTTTTCGAGTAAATCATTGAAGAACGGAATAATTTTTGCAAAAGAAATAGTAGAATGCGTTAAGCTTCCTGATCTTTTCTCTTAGAATTCTTCATCTTCAAGATGCTAGCACGATTAACCAAACATTCAAGAGTGACGATTTTTTAGGAGAAAAAGGTGTTAATTAGCTAAAAATCACTTGAATAAAATAGATACCATTGAACTGCGTATGAAAATGTTTTTATTGAAAAGTGGTTTTTGTTTACACACTACAACGTTAGTGTATTTCGTCTATGAATTTTTCATTTTTTTCCTTCAACAGTACAAAAATTGCGTTTTTACAAGTTGTCCGGCTTAGTAATTAAATATCCCAGTTAGCAATACCTGATCGCAAGAATAAGCCCATTTTTTCAACTCCACAATAAAGTACCGATTAGACTTGAAACACAATTCATAAGTGTTTGTTTAAAAAACTAGATAAATTGTGATTGGATTTTCAAAATCAATCACAATTTTTTTTTCAGAGACTGCTATCTGGGCTACCTTTGGAGACACCCTCAACAACTAAACACTCAATTACTTGAAAAAATGAGTGGATTGTCGATTAAAATAAATTGGTGCACTCGTTAAAATGAATGAAATCAGTACATACTAATATTCTAAGCTTTTCGATTAATCTTAATCATTCCATTGTTTTTTCTTCATTCAATTAACGTAACAATAGCCGCCCAAGCTTTTGAATTTTTCTGAAGCAACATTGAACACTCCGTCGAGTGATTCAACTCAGTAGCAAAATGATTAAATGAATCAAGCGAAAAAGTTTTTTGTTAATTCTGCAATTATTCCAGTAATCAACTTTTTCGGAAAAAAGGCGTAAAAAGACTTGGAGAACATTCATTATCAGATTGATTACCAATGGTCAACCATCTTGATAACGAGTGATGATTCGAAAAATTCGATGACTTAGAGAAAAAGTAATTCCAAAATATCTCCTGAAGTTTCTCATTTCCGAGATAATTGCATAATTACAAAAAGTTTCATATCTGACTTGAACCATTTCACCCCTCTACTCCTAAACTAGTTCATTGTCTATTACTCAATTTTTTCAACTAGCCCTTTCTCAGCTGTCTTCTAAGTACAACCTTATTCGCCAGTTTCAACGAGACTACCTCGTTCAATTTTCTGTAGTAAAGTGATACCAGTAGACAATTCCAAACACTTCACACATCCTATCAATATCTCTGAAATCACAAGCTTTAGACACCGAAAATTGAGAATTTTTTTTTCCTGAATACCAATCGTTCCACGATAAATATCTTTTTTTTTAAATTACTTCCTCCTAGGCCCGGCTGCCCCACGCCCTGTTGTTAAGAAAATTCTCAGTTAAGTATCGAAATCAATAAAAATAATCCGCCGATCTATTTTCATCGAAGATGAAAAACGTGGTATATAAATACATCATCACTATTCGCCACCAGTAATACCAGTAATTATGAATGACTGAATAAAAGTGCTCCACGAAGAATTTCTAAAATTATCTAATTGTGGAATAAAATTCCTCCTCACATAAATTTATTCTAAAGGTTTATGTCGTAAACAGGGCTTGGTGCAACCGACTCCATAGAGATATTGACAAAATAATCTGTAAATGGATTTTGAAATCATCTTCTTTCACCATTCAATCTATCAGTCATCTCTGTCTCTACCAATATCCAGCAATTTTCTACATTTTCCAATTTCATACATCAGATTATAATCTTGATAATCACGATTACAGGGTCAATAGTACACTCGGACTCTCACCGGGATCTCGAATACGTTTGTGGTGGTTTTTTCTGTATTTAATCCATTATTGATTATTATTATTACTCCTAGGCTAAAACTATTATTATTAGTATTATTATTTCATTTTGGTGATAAGAGAGTATGGTATTAATTCAAGTCAACTGAAGGAACAGAAAATACTTTTAAAAAATGATAAAACATGATAAGAATGAAGAGAAAAATCATTAACTTTTCATCTCACTCCTACAATTGAATGAGTTTAATCGACGCTGATGCATTAATAATTAATTCATCATTACTCAATTTTTCATTTGCCTTTTCCCTTTTTCTCTTTCTGGTAAATAAAAAACATGCCTGTTCTCTTCCCTGTTTAGTTTAGGTCCTGCCTTTATTCATCACTTTTGTTAAAATTTCTTTCAATCATTATAATAGATACGATACTGCATTTCATTAATTGGATTAATCATTACACAGAAAGAAATTCCTGTGCTCACTCAAGAGCACAAGAACAGTCTTTATTTCATGGCTCGTTATTCACTATTTCTTCTCCTTACGTGTTTGCCATTTTATAATTGCGTTTATATATCAATAAATACGTTTAAATGTCTGCTTGATTTCTTGAAAATTTCTCAGCGAAGTAGTGGAGAACAGAAGGTGAAACAACTCTGAAAGCATTAGATTTGGAGAAAATTGTCGATTAGGAAAATTTATCGATTTTCTTCCAGGGTAACAGTTCTTTACCACTTCACTATGAAAATGATGATTACTTCTTTTCGTTTTCACCATTGTTCTGATCCGTTTTTCTTTTATGAATGTCGCTGGTATCGGAGTTCGTTTTATTAACAATGGATCAATCGTAACTGGTTTTAATTAATTAAATAGAACTACAGGTGTTTGTAAAAAAAATTAAGAAACGTATCATTTGACTAGCTTTTGATATTTCTCTTGGAGTTTAAAGGGTTTGACAAACGTGTTGTTTCCAATTACATCTTGCTTACTAGTACATTTTCAATTTTAAAATATCAGAATTTAATGTGAATTAATTGTTTTTTTAACAGTGCGAACACTCTGCATTACGTCGGACAATATTACTCATTTTCTAAATTATAGTCGGATGGATTTAACAATGAAGTGGTGAAACAAACAATTAAAATATAGAATTATCGCTATTATAAAGAAAAATTTTAGAATCTGTTGACATTTTCTTCTAAAATCGAGAACCTCCAAGATCGTCTCGTGAACAACGAGAAGAGATACACCGTCCTGATAATTTCTACCACTTCAATCTCAATTTTCATTCAGCAAATTTTTTTTAACATAAAAAAAAGTCAATTCAAGAATTTGCATTAATTAAATTATTTCATTAATCTTGGGTATTCATAAATTGCCTTGACGTAACTCTCCATCGAGCCAGCTCTTTTACGATCGCATTTGATCACGGGACACTCGAAATTAAAAGCAATCACCAAGTAGCCTTACATTGATTATTCGATCTAAATATAATAGAATAGTGCGATAATCAGGCAATTAATCTAAATTACTACTAGTACTCCTTTTTTTTATTTTTCACCGTTTTGTTTTATAATTAATACCTTTCTCTAATCATTATTATTTTGACAGGTTTATTTTTCCCTTCCGCAGTCTTCCAATTGTTTCATTCACGCGCCGTCAAGGAGCAATGGTCAAGGTTTCACATTTTTACGTCAAAATAAAACCAATGATGAGAGCCAGAAGATTTTCATTCATTAAAAAAATGTGACTCTTACAGATTTTCTCTCTAAACTTAATCAATTAATTATTCATCACCTTATTTATTCACTTCATTCCTACTCTCGACTATCGGGGCGCGCGAAATTGTCAGTCTTTCATTATTTTTATTTTTTCACTTTAATTAATTAACATTATTCAGTAAATTTATCTTGTCTGCAGTAAATTTAAAATTGTTGTTTTTTTTTGCACAAAAAATATATTACTAAGGTATATCGCAAAGCTAAGGGGGTTCAATTGCTGTGAGAACAGCTGATTTGAACATTATGATCATTACGCTTACGATTTGAAAGCCACAATATTCGATGTTATAAGCAATTACATTTGACATGACTTTATGCATCCATGTTCCTTGTCAATATACCTTCAAAAATTTACAGACCGTTTCCAATCGTTATTGGGACATCAAATAAAGTCAAGTACAAAGATAAATCTCGAGGTCGTTTTCAAAACGACTGTAGTCTTAATTATCTTAGAGAAGATGCGAGGAGTAAGACGGTTCAAGTCGAGTAAGAAGTCTCCAATAGTTGATTATGCATTCATTTCGGTAATATATCGATTCGGAGAATGTGAAGAGTTTCTTTATAAACGATTTTTTTTGCCTCTAAGAAACATGCCTCAACATAGTTGAGAGTAATTTCCATCAGAAACAGCTCTCGACATTATTTTCTAAAACCATTCATCATCAAGATGAACCATTAGCTAGTTGATTTTCCCTCAATCATGCATTCATTTTATAAATAAGCCACATTAAGAGGCAAACTCGAGCAATATTTCTAATGACTAATTCTCTCAACTAAAAAATAAATCTCTTGACAATCTTCTCAAAACCTCACATCTTACAGAAGTAATCTATCGACTTGAACCTTTCCACCACTTGCTCACATATTTGACTGTTAAAAATAAAACACAAACACAGATCATTTAGACGAAAAAATTACGAGTTGGGTGCATCTCGCAATCCCTCAAGTGATGCTTCGTACGATAAAGAATGAAATAAAATGAACGTGAATTTACATTTATTGAAATCTTAAACTTTAAGTCACGCAATTGAGACTCCAAAAATTCATCAGAATTTATTTTTTCATATATATATCTCAATCATTTATGCAAGTGGAGTCTCGCCAATGTATCTAATCAGACGGAATCGTTAAAAAATAAAGATCAGTCAAGTTAATTAAAAAAAAGACATTACACGATTATTTTCATTTTATAATGCATATTGGATTAAAATCAGAAGAATTCCATTTCCCGAAATGGATAACATAAAACAATATTGCAATTATCGCGCAGTAGTTAATTCATTTTCATTTTCCATCTCTTTTTATTTCTCACGGCGGAAAAAAATTCATTTCGTTCAATTCATTTTTCTTTCTTTTGTCTACCACTCAACTAAATTCTATCAATAATATAATATATAATATTTTTTCCATAAAGACATAGTAAATAGTCGAAGGAAAGAGTCTATCTTTCTAATAGCATTTGGCTTGCCAAATTGTCAGTTCATTAAATATGTTATACAGTCACAAATGTTCCTGTTTTTTCATTAAAATATCATTTACAAATTCATTCTCAGAGACAAAAAAAAATTACAAGGTGCGTTACTGCTTTTTTTGGCTTTTTATGATTTTTTTATCAAGATTTTTTTTGCTTTTTTCTGTTTTTTTATAGTGATGACGAATTCTCGGATTCTTGTATTGGTAGAGATATACATAAAAGGGGTCGGGGATTAAAAGTGGGGAAAAAAACAAAAAACATTGTTTAGGCCTCACCAAAGCCTCCTATGGCTTGCTCGGTCATCCGCAGACAGAGGGACTCGAGACGTGAATTTATTTCTGGATCTGTTGTCTCCAACGGTGGGCTTGGCTGTCTCATGAAATGATCACGTGGGGCACTGTACGTACGTTGAAGAGTTTTTTGAAGCAACTGATGGAAGAATGAATTGATTAGTAGTACAAACAATGAAATTATTTAGGCTCTACACTCTAGAGCACCGGAGAACTTCAGGGAAATTCTACCCAGAGGTCAATATTTAATTTAGATATTTGTATAATCACGTTTCGACAAAACTCGGCCGTATTCGACCTTCAAAACGAAACTGATCCATAGATATCTTATAGATATTTTAATGATGATTTTAAATTTCTTTTGGAAATTTTTTTTAGCACGTCTAGTTTTTGAGAAAAAAATGCCAGAGCATTGAAGAATGTCTAAAATGAACAATTTGGAAAAATTGAAAAAAAAAAAGAAGGAATTTCGAAGTAATTTGTTTCAGAAAAAAGAACCAATTAATGAAAATACGATTTGTTCAGTGGATTTTATTTCATCCAAATTGGCTAAGTCAAAACGAGTTGAAAAAATTCCGAAAGTCTAAATTTTATGATTTTTCTGGTAAAATTTAATGACCGGAAATTGGCTACGGCACTTTGATGTACGCCAATTTAAATCTACACATTGTTAACCTCGACCTGACTGAACATAAAATTTTAAAAGTGCTTTTTCTGCAAGGTAAATGTTCAATTCTTTCTATAAGATGTCACCCTCAATTGTGGAAAAGTGGGATTGGCTGAAATAGAGAGAGAGAGAGAGAGAGAGAGAGAGAGAGAGAGAGAGAGAGAGAGAGAGAG